CTGATAATGTGAGTATGGAGGAGGTAAGCTCATCCCATTTCCCCCACCTTATGAGGAGTTATTGGATAATGTGGGTATGGAGAAGGTAAGCTCATCTCGTATCCCCCACCCTATGAGGAGCTATTAGATAATGTGGGTATGGAGGATGTAAGCTCATCCCATTTCCCCCACCTTATGAGGAGTTATTGGATAATGTGGGTATGGAGGAGGTAAGCTCATCTCGTATCCCCCACCCTATGAGGAGCTATTAGATAATGTGGGTATGGAGGATGTAAGCTCATCCCATTTCCCCCACCATATGAGAAGTTATCGGTTAATATGGATATGGAGGAAGTTAGCTCATCGCATTTCCCCACCATATAAGGAATTATTGGATAATGTGGATACGGAGGAAGTAAGCTCACCGCATTTCCCCACCATATGAGGAGTTATTAATTAATGTGTATATTGAGTAGGTAAGCGGGTATGGGTGAGGTAAGCTCATTTCATTTCCCCCACCTTATGAGGAGTTACTGGATAATAAGGTTATGGAGGAAGTAAGCTAATCCCATTTCCCCCACATTGTGAGGAGTTATTGGATAAAGTGGGTATGGAGGAGGTAAGCTCATCTCATTTTGTCCACCATATGAGGAGTTATTACATAATGTGGATATGGAGGAAGTAAGCTCATCCTATTTCCCCCACATTGTGAGGAGTTATTGGATAAAGTTGATATGGGGGAAGTAATCTCATCCAATTCCCCCCACATTGTGAGGAGTTATCTGATAATATGGATATTTATGAAGTAAGCTCATCCCATTTCCCCCACATTGTGAGGAGTTATTGGATAATGTGAGTATGGAGGAGGTAAGCTCATCCCATTTCCCCCACCTTATGAGGAGTTATTGGATAATGTGGGTATGGAGGAGGTAAGCTCATCTCGTATCCCCCACCCTATGAGGAGCTATTAGATAATGTGGGTATGGAGGACGTAAGCTCATCCCATTTCCCCCACCTTATGAGGAGTTACTGGATAATAAGTATATGGAGGAAGTAAGCTAATCCCATTTCCCCCACATTGTGAGGAGTTATTGGATAATGTGGGTATGGAGGAAGTAAGCTCATCTCATTTCCACCACCATATGAGGAGTTATTGGATAATGTGGGTATGGAGGAGGTAAGCTCATTTCATTTCCCCCACCCTATGAGGAGTTACTGGATAATAAGGATATGGAGGAAGTAAGCTAATCCCATTTCCCCCACATTGTGAGGAGTTATTGGATAAAGTGGGTATGGAGGAGGTAAGCTCATCTCATCTTGGCCACCATATGAGGAGTTATTACATAATGTGGATATGGAGGAAGTAAGCTCATCCTATTTTCCCCACATTGTGAGGAGTTATTGGATAATGTGGATATGGAGGAAGTAATCTCATCCAATTCCCCCCCCCCATTGTGGGGAGTTATCTGATAATATGGATATGGAGGAAGTAAGCTCATCCCATTTCCCCC